CACTCTGGACAGCTGCAGCCTCAACAGCAGGCCCAGTGGAGCTGCAGCACCCTCTGCTGGCTGAAACTGAGAGCCACTCTGGCTCAGCTCCTCTGCCCTGCGGGCAGAGTCCCTCTCTGGCTTGACATTTGGTGCACCTTGGCCCACGCTCAATGGTTGTGCGATTCCCTTGGTTGTGAGGGGTGGAGGAAGAAGAGAAAGATCTTACACCTGGAGTGCGGGGTGAAGACAAGCCTGAGGTCAGAGAAAGAGATGGGATCAAGAGAGGGTCTGGCCACATAGACCAGAGACTCCATCAGCCTGAGACCAGAAGAACTGGATGGTGCCCGGCTACCACCAATGACCGCCCTGACAGGGAACACAACAGAGAGTCCCTGATGGAGTGCGGGAAGGGTGGGATGCAGCTCTCAAATTCTAGTAAAAAGACCAGACTTAACGGTCTGACTGAGACTGGAGGAACCTCAGAAAGCATGGCCACCGGACTCTCTGTCAACCCAGAACTGAAAAAATTCCCAAGGCCAACTCTTCAAAGATTGGACTGGACTGTGGGACATAAAATGATACTCGTGAAGAGTGTGCTTCTTAGCTCAAGTAGATACATGAGACTAAATGGGCAGCTCCTGTCTGGAGGTGAGATGAGAAGGCAGAGAGGGTCAGGAGCTGGTTGAATGGACATGGGAAATCTGGGGTGGAAAGGAGGAGTGTGCCGTCACAGTACAGGGAGAGCAACTAGGGTCACATAACAATATGTGTATAAATCTTTGTATGAGAGACTAACGAATTGTAAACTTTCACTTAAACTACAACAATTAAAAAAAAAAAAAAAGGAAGAAAAAAACAAAGACAGGGCCTGGGCCTGCTGGGAGGTGTAAGGTGAAGCTTAGGATTGGGGACAGGAGTCAGTGTCAGTGTGGCGAAGGAATAAGGATGGAAGTGGGCAGCCTGGGGCTGGGCCAGGGCAGGATGAGGGGAAGCTGCAGGGCAGTACAACCGCAGGGCCAGGCACCAGGGTAGCACCAGGTGTTGTGCACGTGGATATAAGAGCAAAGTTAGGGTTGGGGTTAATCAGATTTTTTGAGTGACCTTTCTGGGGATGTGAGTAAGCCCTGAGCCTCAGAGGGAGGCAGTGGAGCAGGACTGGACAAGGCAGGGCAGGGCTGGGCAGGACTGGGTTGGGGAAGCTGGGCAGGGCTGGGCAAGGGCTGAGTAGGCAGAGCTGGGCTGGGAAGGCCTGGGCTATGAAGGGCAGGTCTGGGCAGGCTGGGCAAGGCAGGGCAGGGCAGGGTTGGGATGAGTTGGGCTGGGCTAGGCTGGGAAGGGCAAGGCAGGGCAGGCTGGGCAAGGCAGGGCAGGGCTGGGCTGGGATGGGTTGGGCTGGGCTAGGCTGGGAAGGGCAGGGCTGGGCAGGCTGGGCAAGGCAGGGCAGGGATGGGATGGGTTGGGCTGGGCTAAGCTGGGAAGGGCAGGGCTGGGCAGGCTGGGTTGGGCAGGTTGGGCTGAGCGGGGCTGGGCTGGGAAGGGCAGGGCTGCGCAGGGCTAGTCTGTGAAGGGCAGGTTTGGGCAGGCTGGGCAGGGCTAACAGACTGGGTAGGGCTGGGCAGGGTTGATCAGAGCTGGGCATGGCTGGGCTGTGAAGGGTTGGTCTGGGCAGGCTGGAACACAGAGCCAGCTGCTGCTCAGCCACTTCAAGGTGGTCTCCCTTGTTCTTCCAGGTGCCCTCAGGCTCCAGGACCCCCATGGGTTGTATGTTCTGTCCAGGGGTTTCCTTCCAGTCTCCTAGATCTTGTTCTTTATTCCCCTAAAGATCTTTATTCCCCTAAGATCTAATACCTGTTTATTTTTCTAGAATTTATAAGCAATAACATGGTCCTCTTGGTTGTCTGTGAATAATCTCTTACATTTGTGTGCTTCTTCAGATACTAAAACGATATTTTCACAAACATTTTCTCATTGGTTCATACAAAGATCCTACAGGGTAAAAACGACCCACATTATCCCATTTTATAGAGGGGAAGCCTGAGGATCGGATAAGCTAATGCAGCAGATTAGGGTCATGGTACTAAGTGGGGGTTGAAACTCAGCTTCCTGACCTCTAGCCCAGTAAGCTCCTGGTTAGTTGACACATGTAAACCTGACGTATAATTCAAAGATGAAGCACCCGTGACATGTTTGGACTTGATCTTTTTGGTTAAAGGGCCAAGCTGAGATACTAAAACCTTGGGACTGGAATTTGAGCATCTGGGACAGATAGGTGGGGTGAAGGATGGGGGCACTGATAAATCACATCACCATGCTGCTCACCCAGGCTGGGAGTGCCATGGGAAGCCCTCTGGGACCTCATGTAAGTTCCATCCGTGACACCCAAGATAGCAGCACATTAATTACACATTGCTAATGTCCCCAGCCTCTTCCCTCCTCTTTTAAACGGGCTACCTCCTATTGCTCTGAGACAGAGATACCCAAGTACCCAGCAGGTCAGTGAAGAAGTTCCTGCAGACCCTGCCCCAGGTTCCTTGCTCCCCCTAGGAAGTAATTCTTGAAGTTGGTGCTCCCTTCCTTTTGGAGATGATCCCAAGGCAGGTCCACCCTGGTCTCCGTTTGCCCTGCAGGATCCACATCCTTGAGGTCCTCAGCACTGAGGTGCTCTCAGCTCTGCCAAGTCTCAAAAGGCCCCCACAAGGAACAGCTGTTCTGGGCACTTGGCCTTCTCCCATGTTTGGGGTTGGGGATGCTGCCCCTCTCCTCATCAGGCAAGAGGTTTCTCTCTGGCTCCTCTGGGGTGGGCTGAGCAGAGTTTGGACTGGAACATCAGGCTTTTAAGATTCATGTCTTTATTAAAGTCTGCGACAGTGGAGACAAGGCAAAGCCACAATCTGCTATAAAAACTGTGATTAGCTGCATCTGAAAATAGCAAGCATTGAGGGTGTGATTGGAGCTGGGAAGTCGGTGGGCACTCCTCGGCTCAGGGCTAGGCTGAGAGGTGAGAAGGATGTGGAGAGTGGCCCAAGGGCTGCCTTGTCAGTTGCTAAGATGTTCATTACAGTCAGACTGTGGTCCTAGCCACCCTCCTCCCCTCCATCCATTGGCCTGCTCCCCACGGGAACTTTGAAGTCAGCACCGGCTTTAACAGTCTGGCATCTGAATCCTATTTTCCACGCATCTGAGTTGACTGTTCTCATGATGCCCTCACGTGTGTCGGAGTAGAACTATGCTCCATAGGGTTTTCAAAGGCTGATTTTTCAGATGTAGATCACCAGGCCTTTCTTCCAAGCTGCCTCTGGGTGGATTCAAACCTATAACCTTTTGGTTGGTAGCCAAGCAAGTTAACTGTTTGTACCACCCAGGGCCTTCAGGGACACTTGGGGTCACCATGAATTGGAGTCAACTTGATGGCAACTGGCAACTGGGAGCTCACGCTTACAGCCAGCGCTCCCATCTCAGCGGCAAGTTCCTATGTAATCCCTTATTGGATCTGCAGGGCACTGACTGGGTGCGGCTGAGGTATCATTACCCAGATGTCACAGATACAGAAACTGAGGCCCTGGAAGCTGGAGGCCTGGGCCGGGTCTGTGAAGCATTCCAGCAGCAGGAAACCCAAGGAAGAGGATGAGGAGAGGGGTAGAAGGAGGGAGGGTGAGGAAGGGACGGTGGTCCTGCTAGTCAGAGGGGAGGGTGTTCTGCTGCCGAGCTCTGGCATGACCACAGGATGCTTAGCCTGTGTCCTGGGGACCAGGGGCCTAGGGATGGCAGCTAGGGTTCAAGAATGAGAAAACTCCTGGTCCACCACCCTAGAGGGCCGCTGTCCATTCCTAAAAATCCAGAATGGCAGAACTGGATGGACCGCTGAGATCTGCTGGCCAATCAGTCCATTCTACAGATGGGGGCATTGGGGCTCAGTGAGGGCCTTTTCCTAGGTCACACCCAGTGCACACAATCCAGGTAGGCCAGGGCATTCATCCTCTGCTGCTCCACACTTCTCCTGGGAAGCAGTGGTTCTCACACTTCCGTGTGCCACAGAATCATCTGCAGAACCTGTTAAAACCCAGATTACTGGGCCTCACCCCAAAGCTTTTCATCCAGTAGGTCTGAAGTAGAGCCCATGAATCTGCACTTCTAACAAGCTCTCCAGTGACGCCAATGCTACCAGTCCCCAACTACACTTTGAGTAGCGCTGTGTTAGAGGTCATTCCTTGGGGGAGAGGGAGTCTAGGGGAGGGGCAGTGCAGGAAGAGGTCAGGGCCATGCTGAGAGGGGTCCGTGGCCAGGAATAAGGAGCAGCGTCTGCATGGCTGTGAGGAAGGGTCAGACTTTGGAAGTGGAGACATGCATCCTCCAGTTTGATATAGCTGGGAGTGGGTGCAGGGAGCAGCAACTTCTGCCTCTGGATATGAGGCCTCTTTGGGATGAAAATGTTCCCAATGGGAGGCCTACAGAAAACCAGGCCCTGGGCAGACAGAAGCTGGGAGAACTCAAACTCATGACAGGCAGCTTTGCATGAAAGGCACTTTAGGTACCTGGTAGGGGGTGCTGAGGTCGGAAGCTGTGTCCTCTCTGACTGCTGTCCATGGCGGCTGTCAGCAGATCCCTTGGGTGGTGGCTGGGGGTTAGGGAGGTACTGCAAGGGCACCCATGGAAGAGGCAGGTTGGGTAGCTGGGGCAGGACAGAGGTCACTTAGAGCCCAGAGGCAGTGGTCTCTTCCGTCAGGGGTCCCTGGTTCTGGCTCCTTGCTAAGGGCGCAGATTGGCGAAGGTCTGGTGAGCAAACCCACAGGCTCCCCCAGGACCCACAAGGGGATCCAGGTGGCCCCTCGGGATGTTTCTTGGCCTTGGAACCTTATCTGTGGGATTTTTACAGAAGTTGGTCCCAGAGAAGGGGAAGTGGTTCTGGGCCAAATGACAACTGAATACGGGGACCTGGAACTATTGTAACTGGTGAGGCCTGGCTCAGGGGCCCCACCCCCCTCTGCCCCTAGAGATCTCAAGCTAGTGACACCCTTCCCTCAGTTCTGCTGGGAGGCCCGTTCTACCAAGCTATGGCCGGAGGGTGGGGCAGAGATGCCCTCCCCCTGTGCCAACAGGGTTGCAAAGTAGGCGCTGAGAGCCTGCAGGTCCAGAGCAGGCTGGGCGGGCAGTGCAGGAGCGGCCTGCAGGCTCAGGTACCGGCTATACTTCTTTAAGCCCCACTTCGGGTCACAGCGGTGGGCAGCCAGCAGCTCCACAAAGCTCACATTGTGCAGGGCCAGAAGGCGGGCGTTGGCCCGGGGCAGGACAGCCGCTCGCACCAGGGGCTGCAGGGACGCAAAGCACTGCAGGTCGCTGAAAGAGTAGACATGCTGGGCCAGCGAGGGGCCTGGGAAGACCTCAAGGAGGTGGCACAGGTCGCGCATGGCGAGCACGGAGGCCAGGGCACTGTGGTCGTTCACGTTTCTTGCCAGGTAGGTCTTGGCCAGGCTCTTGAGTTTGAAGCTGCTGGCCCCGGGTACACACTCCCGGATCAGGGGCAGGGTGGCCAGGAAGCCCGAGATGGCCTCCTGGAATTCCCACAGGCTGTTCATGTCCTCCAGGGCCTGGAAGAAGTAGGGGAGGCTGGGCCCCCACAGCTTATAGCAGGCCAGAATGGGGCGGCGCATGGAGCCCAGGAAGCGGAGGAAGTGCCGCAGGCCCACCTCCAGGGACACAGCCTTTGAGTAGATGCTGAAGAAGGCCTTGGGCTGGATGAGCACACGGAACTTGCTTTCCCGGTTCACGGCCGCCAGCTGGCTAATCTTCTGGGCTGGGCAGGAGAAAAGGGCAGCATGAGGCCCCAGGGGCACAAGAGGTGCTGGCGTGGGAGCAGAGAAGTCTAGGGCAGCTGACCCAGCATCTACAGACCCCACCTTGGGGCCTTCTGGCAGGAACCAAACAGCCTCCAAACGCAGCTCTGACCCTGGGTCAGAGGGGAAGGCCGGGCTGCCCTCCAAAGACCCCTTGCTTGCCTGCTGGGGGCTCCAGCTCCCCCACCCCCCATCACCTTCCCCAGAGTTCACCACACCCTTTTGGATCCAGGTCTCTTCTGTATACTAGCCTCCACCCACCTACACAGGAGACCTCTGATTGGATCCACCTGGCCATCCACCCCCTGCCCTCGACCTCCAATCCCTAAGTCACTTGGCTAAAGCCCCCCAGCCCTGTCAGAGCCCTGGGATGAAGACAACAGACCCACCCAGGCCACTCCATTCAGAGTGAGGCCCAGAGCCTGTGCCTGCATCTGCAAATGGCTTCCCTGCACTATGAAAGCTCTGCTGCTTCTGTGGGCTGGGTAGGCCCCAAGGGTGAATCCATGCCACAGGGCAGGGCCAGGGCTCAGGCTCAGAGAGGGCCAGTGCACGGCCCGGGCAAGCTCTGGGGAGCAGAGGGACCTCCAGGAGAAAGGGCTGTCTCTGGCCTTGGCTCTGTGGCCTCCCTCCAGAGTCATCTGTGGGATGGGCCTGGACTCCGGAATGTCTGGTCATGGCCAAAGGCTATGCGGGTTACTGGCCTCACAGCAATGAGTTCACACACTGGATTTCTGTTTAGAAGTGTGTTCACCGGGCTCCGGGTATATGAGCAGTGCTGCCTCACACTTCCAGGCACTGGTCAAGGCAGAAGTCCTTACTCAGACAGCTAAGCGGCACACCTGGGAGGCCCCAGGTGAGGCAGAGTGCTCTGCCCACTCTGTCTGCAGACACTGGCCAGGGCTCAGGGCTCTCCCCGGCCTTGCACACAGCTCTACCTGCACTTATCTTAGGAATGGAGTCCCTAGGTAGAACAAACGGTTAATGCACTTGGCTGCTAACCAAACGGTTAGTGGTTTGAGTTCACCCAGAGGTGCCTCAGAAGAAAGGCCTGGCCGAAAAATCAGCCATTGAAAACCCTACGGAGCACGCTTCTACTCTCACACATGGGTCGCCATGCGTTGGAATCGACTCAGTGGCAACTGGTGCCAGCGGCGGTATCTTGGGAACGGAGAGGCTAAGCTAGAAAGGGGTAGGGGTGGCCACTGGAGAACCCACTTTCATTGTCAATCCTGAGGTCAAAGAAAACCAGGGGCCTGTCTTCTGCTTGGGGATCGGCGAGGCTCTCGTCCAGGACCCTGAGGGTGCTGGGGCCCTCCAGCTGGAGGTCACTGGACTCGCTGCTGCTATCATCCAGCTCTCGGGAGGACTGCAACACAGAAAACCAACAGGTCAGGGGCTCGGAGGGGAGAGGGTGCATCAGCAACGTGTGCCTGTGAGCAAGGGTGTGCTGAGCGTGAACAGGAGCAGGCTGGTATGGCCGGGGCATCTGTGTGTACACGAGGGAGGTATATTATCGGGGACGAGAACATGTGCATACAGGGGAGTACGTGTGCACCAGAAGACGTGTGTGTACACGCGTGAATGTGTGGATGTGAGGCATGACGGTCGTGTGTGAACCACTGTGCATGCATCAACAAGTGATTAGGTGTGAGGATGTGATCACACAGGTGAGTGTGAAAGCATGTGTGGAGATGAACATGGATGGTCAAGTGTGTGTGTACAAGGGGGTGTGTGTGGCAACTGATGTTGACATAAGTGTGTGAAAGTGTGAAAGAATATGTGGGTGAGCATGTGTATGGGTGAGTAGTGCTGGGCATAGGGGCTCAGGACCAGGGCCAGCTGCTATGGTGGGCAGGGGCTGAGGGGTCTGCTCCTGAGGGGACTCAGAAGAGCCACCATGAACTTGGGGCCAGGATGAAGGAGCCTATCTTGAACCCCAGCTATTTCTCTTGAAGGTCCCAGGAGCCTGGTTTTTCTTGTCCCCTGAGCCAGCAGAGGCCCCAGTGTTCTGCACCAAGGGTACAGGAAGGGCTGCTCAGCCCCCCTGAACTTCACATCTGGATGGACAGACAGATCCTTGGCAGCAGTAGAGCAGACGAGGGAGATGCCTCCAAGCCTCAGAGCCTGGAGAGCTGCCCAGGCCCTCCCTGCATGTAGCGTCCATGTCCCGGGCTGTCTAGGGAAGCCTGTGAGTCCTGGACTCCCCCAGGCTGGGCACTTGAGGCTCTGTCCTCTCCAGCCCCAAGGCCTTGCAGAAACACAGTTTGAAAGGCTCAGAGGTGGGAGGGGAGAAGGGCTCCAGCTCCAAGAGTCTCCGAGGTGCTGGGGCCACGAGGGAGGCTGAGCCTCTGATGAAAACACAGAGTTAGTTGCTCATCATCTGCATAGCTGCCAAGCCCAGATGTCCAGTCTTTGGTGGCCAGCTCAGAACCACCCTGTGAATTCTACCTGTGGACCTTGGCCAGAGACCAGGGGAAAGGGACATGGCCAGTGTCACAGGGCTGGTGGTGGCATTGCTGAGACAGAGTCCAAAGTAGACCTCTGGTCTTTTCTCTTTATGAATTGCCTCCGCCTTGCTGATAGCAGCTGGCATCAGCTGGGGGTATCCAAGGCCTCCATTAACTCTGGCCTCTGGCTAATGGCCCAGTCTTGGAGAATATTAGCATACTCCTCTAGCCCTTCCACTGTCCAGCTGAAACACTGGTTTTCAATAAAATTTCAGGCCAGAGAAAAGTTATTACTGCCCACAAGTAAATTTACATGTTCTGAATTTTCCAAGCAATGTCTGGTTTTTACTTTATTTGCATTTCATAGCCCTGCCCAGGCTCACCAACTTCTTCCCAGTCATTGATAGAAACAGACATTCAGTATAAATCCATCTAGAGCTGATTTTCCTCTTTTTATGGATCTACAGCCAGAATGCTCCTTACAAGCAAGGATGGTGAGACTCTGTCTCAATTACTTTGGACACATCAGTGGGAGAGACCAATCCGTGAAAGATATCATGTTGGGTAGAGGGTCAGCAAAAAAGAGGGAGACCCTCAATGAGCTGGACTGACACAGTGGCTACAACAATGGGCTCAAACATAGCAACTATTGTGAGGAGGGCGCAGGACCAAGCAACGTTTTGTTCTGTTGTACGTGAGGTTGCTTTTAGTCCGAGCTGAAGCGATGGCACCTAACAATAACACGTACAGATCTCATCAGAGACTTTGCCAAATGCTTTGTCTCTCCACTGCCTTGGTTCAGCCACGTCATCAAAGGCTGACTGTACATGCCCTGCTACAAGTGAGCCCACACTGCTGTCTCCCTATAAGGAGCCTTCTACAAGCAGTCGTCATCAGAGTAGACTCTGCATTCATTCCCTCTGGGAGAATCAAGATGTTTTCTTTCTGCAGCCTCCCAGCACCTGCCCCATTCACAAAGCAGTGGTTCTCTCATACTTTGGCTAGTGGAGGGACTGGGCTCCCTTGCTCTGGGCTCCCCGGGACCTCAGCTCCCTCTTGCCGATGGCTGAAGAGTGGTCCTCTCGGCCAGGTCCTTTCTGCCACCCACTGACATGGTGCTCTGGGCGTTGTCTTCTTTGTTCGTCTTTCTGCTCCAAAGATAACTGCAAAAGCCCCTCTGTGCGTCTACTGGTCTCCTTCTATTTGGAACTTCGGATCTTTGGATGTTCTTTCAGGCCTTAGAGCCATGTCTAGAATTACAGTCATTTCACCTTCGAATCTGCTCTTCTAAGAGTAGCTCCCCAGAGAGTCGCACAGCTGTATCTTTGGGATACCTTCCCCATCTCTACATCAGGAGCATTTATGATGGCCAGCAGTCTCCCATTGTCCTGGGGCCATTTTCCCTCTTATAGTCATGAGAACGTCCTTCTGCCTGAACTTACTGAAGCTGCCTTCTGTAAGAAAATCCTGCTAGCTCCCTTAATAAAAGGATACCTTCTTTCTACTGAGTATGTCAGTGGATGGAAGGATGGATATTTCAGCCGCAACTCTTCTTCCTCCAAGATTCCTCTTGCCCTTGAGAGCATCCATAACGTATGGCTGCATCATGGGGCTGGTCTCACTGGGATGCCTTCCATTTAACTCTGGCCAGCATTAAACTCACAACATACCCTCTAAATCCCAGCAACACAGCTGGGAAGTAGCCAGAACATTTAAAAAGACTTTTCTAAAGACCCAGGTTTAACAAAAGGACAATCAGCACATAGAGGAATCTGGCATCGGACGTCTTTTCCTCTCTCTAAACATTAAGGGAAACTCTGATGTTCCACCTCCCATACCCCCTCTCCTGGGCCTTATCCACAGATCAGGGTAACTGGATGGGTGGAGGGAGAGGACAGAGAAGGACAGTCGTAGAGACCAGAACCCAAGAAGCCAGGAAAGGGCCTTTCACTGGAAAAGGCTGAGATTTGCTTGGCAGGGAAAAGGAATGGGGGCAGGAGGAAATGGGGAGTGGGAAATAGAGAAGAGCCTATGTATGAGGGCTAGACAGTGAAAGGTAGGGAAAAGCTTTCAGGAACTATGGTGTGGGAGATGGTGAGAGCTATAGGAAAGGAGAAAAGCAATTTAAGAAGTGCTGCAGTAGGTTGGTGAAGAGCTTGGCTGTTAACCAAGAGGCTGGCAGTTTGAATCCACCAGCCGCTCCATGGAAACTCTATGGGACAGTTCTACTCTACCCTATAAGGTCGCTATGAGTCGGAAATGACTCGACGGCAACGGGTTTGTTTTGGATATGAGTTGGATCCACTTTCATATTCTTTGAAAGATGCAAGTAAATACTGGAATTTGTTTTTATTATACTTGGTTAATGGACGGTGTTTCTTTGAATGCAAAACTGTCCTCAGACCGAGCCACATGGGGTCCAGGAATTTTCCAGGCTACACGTGCTACTGGGATACACGGACAATCTGGTTCACAAGCTCTATCTCACTGATCTTCATCACAGATCTCAGGGCCTGAGCAGGTCAAGGGCATTCCAACTCAGCACGGCAAGCCTAACAGGGGCACTCGTAGGAGGCAGCTGGGCTGACCCTTTAACCACCTTCCAAAAGTCTAGGAAGCTTATCTGGGACGATTCAGCCTCTTCTGTCCGCAGCTGTATCATACCCCAGTATGGACATGTCACCTCCATTCAAGGCTGAACAGACACACGAGCAGCGATCCTCTGCTGCAGAGGTGGTTCTGTACTTCGGCTGTGCGTTAGCATCCTTAACCAATCTCAATGCCCGGGCTGCACCCAGGAAGGCATAGTTCAAACTGCGCAGGGTCAAAAGCCGCTTTCTTAATTACTGACTCATTCCATGTGTAGTCAATAGTCAATCAATCAGACGAGAGCCAGACTCTTTGATGGACAGCATCCAGTCACATGGAAATATCTAGTCTCCAGCATTAATGCTCATCAAGAGCCCCAAGCTCCTAAGGAACTCTCTCCATCACTCAAGCTTCAGCCATGGCCGGGAGCAGTTTGGCAAAACACATGCACCACTGTTTTTTCACAGACATGAAGCCCCAGCTTTTGCCAAGTCTGGAAGGCCCTGGAGATAGCTCACATGTATCCTTGAACTGGACCATCCCGTTAGCTAGCCTGTGGCCTCTACTGTCCCTCTACCTGCTCTGGTCCCTGGGCAGGGCGCTGCTGCCCTCAGGGAACACAGCTCCCACCAGCCTCCCTCGGGAGGGGGCCATGGAAAGAGGGTGATGGTCACTCACCAGCACCATGGTCCCCCTCCCCCATTAGCTGCTCCCCACAGGCAGGGACCTATCTACAGAAAGTAGCAGCTAGGGCAATTAGTGTTTAATTGCTGAATGATCTCTCACACCTGGTGAAGGAAACGGTGATGGCCAATAGAAACTGCTCATTGGCGCTCCTCCTCAAGCGGCGCCCAGGGCACGCAGGCACGCAAGCACGAAGCACCCAGAAGCAAGCACGAAGTGTTCAGGGCATGCGCCCTGCCTGCGCCAGGCTCCCTCGATAGGCCTCTGCCCACAGACCTCCCTTCTCCGGTCATCACCACCACTTCTGCCAGGCGCTACCGCGTTGGCCAGGCCCTCCTGCTTCCACTTGGTCCTGTGGCTGCGAGGTGCTGGGGCCAGTCACCTGTGGCAAAGCTGTGTGAGAGCACCTATCTTTTCTGCTTTGAGTCCTGAAATGGGAGCCCCATGGCAGAGACACTGCTGACCCACCCTTGCAGCTTGTAAGCAGCCCTCACCCAAGCCCCACAGTCGGGCCTGGGGCTCGCCCCTTCACCCCTGACCTCGGCTCCATCTGTGGCCCACTCTTCAGCCCACCACCTCTTCCAGCACAGCCGAGGCCTTTCACAGAAAGCACCTCCTCACTCTAGCAGTCTCATAGACCACAGGCCCGCGCCTGAGCCCCCAGACGTGCCTAGATTCCAGCAACAGACAGCCAAGACCCAGCAGGCAGGTCCCTACATGCCCTGTACAGTCGGAAACTGACCTTCTTAGCAGGCCGTATTTTACAACGTTCCCTCACCAGGAGGCTCGCTGAAGACCCTGGACAGGGAGACAACGGGATTATGTGGGAGCCTGGAGCACCTTGCAAATACTGCCTGGTCCTTCTCTCTAAGCAGGGAGTAAGAGTTTGCAGTGGGGGGTGCTGCAGGTGCTCTAGGGGCCCCAGGGGTCAGCAGGGGGACATGGGAGGAGGGCAATGAATGCATAAAAACAAGAACAAACATACCCACTGCCTTTGAGTCAACTCCGACTCATGGAGACCCCACGTGTTACAGAGTACAACTCTTTCAAAGGGCTTTCTTGGCTGTAATATTTACTGGAGATCACCAGGCCTTTCTTCCATGGCACCCCTGGGAGTGTTCGAACCACCAACCTTTTGGTTAGTAGCTGAGAGCAGACTGTTTGCGCCACCCAGTGACCTATTTGTTTTTTCAAAGCATTGTTTTTAAGAAGTTTGGGACTCCTGCAATGGTTAAGTTTTAAAATGTGCATCTAAAGAACGTATACAGTGTTCAGCTGCAGTTCAGGAGGAAGTAGGAGCATTTGAAGATGCAGGAGAGATGAGGATGAGGAGATGGGGTGAGGGTCCCAAGGAGGTGGGGAACAGGACAGAGGTGGGGCAAGTCCCAAAGGGAGGTGGATGCCACATCCACCCTAACAGAAGGGACAGGGGAGGATGCGGCAGGGCAGGTCAGTCTGTAACAGGGCAGCAGGACATCAACAGTTCCCATCCCATCTGAGGGCTCCTGTCTTATCTGTAAAGCAGGAGGTGTGGTCACCTGCCTCCCTGAGGGTCACAATGAGGGACCAGAGTGAGGCAAGTGGAGGCGAGGAGCTGCTGCAGAGCGGGAGAGCACGCTGAGGTAGGACACCCGAGACTGTTCACAGCGCCAGGAGGCATTACAGGTTGTTGCTGTTAGGTGCCGTCGAGTCGGCTCCAACTCATAGTGACCCTATAGGACAGAGGAGAACTGCCCTGTAGGGTTTCCAAGGAGCGGCTGGTGGATTTCAACTGCTGAGCCTTTGGTTAGCAGCGGAGCTCTTAACCACTTTGTAGTTTTCCTGGAGGTGTGACTTTTCTCCAACAGAGTTCAGCCTGCAGATGGCAGCACAGAGGCAGGACTAACAGAAAAGGGTGGGGGGGACGAGAGTAAGAAGAAAGAGGTGAGATCCTGATGAGAGACAAGCTGAAATGGTTGACGGTGCTGACTGGAGAGAGGTGAAGACAAGAGGGGAGACAGCAGAGAGGCTGCAGTACCCCGGGACAAGGAACCAAGGTCTGCAGGTTAACGATGGACGGTGCGAGGAACAGGAGGCTGTGAGCAGTTGGAGGTCTGAGAGGCACACTGTAGAGACGGACGGTTCTCGGGGATGGTGACGCCCAGGGTCTGGCCATGGAGTTAGCAGCTGAAGGAGAGAGGGGTGAAGACCTCTGAGAGGTCAGGGAGTGGTGGGTGTCAAAGTCACCCAGGAAGAAGGCAGGACTTGGATAGGGACAAGAAACCTGGAGGCAGGGGCCAGTCTCCCCTACATGAGGGGGAGGCGAGATAACTGGGTGGAGCGGGGGTACACCCAATGGCTGGAACCTCCAAGGCTGGGGGAATCTGATCTGATGGTGGAGACTTAACAGTCCATGCAGCAAGAAGGGCCTTGAGCCCACCTCCGACCTCAGGTGCTCACAGGTGTGGGAGGAAGAGCAAGACACAGGATCTCAGAGGAGAACCAGTCTCGGCAGGAGGAGACAGAAACAGCCTGCGAGAAGAGGTAAGTCCATCAGGGACTGGGGTGACCATGGAATAAGGGTGCGCAAGGGTGATCTTTCAACAAATATTTATTGAGCAGCCATGTCTGCCAGGTCACAGGGCGGGTACAGTCCCTGCCCTGATAGACTCAGATCCTGGCAGAGGCCCAATGCAAAGGCTTGGGGTGGGAGACGGGGTGATGGGAGGCTACACTATTGGTGGTGGTGGTGGGGGTTCGTTCAGAACACAGAAAGGCACAATGGGCCAGAGAACTGCTTCCTTGGGCAGAGAGACCCAGGGGGGTGAGAATGGGAGCCTGAATGTCAGCCTTCGGGGATCCACATCTCCCTGCCCAGAGGTCCCTGTAGTCATTCATTGCTTTGTTCTCTCATTGACCAATATTTATTGAATGCCTACTATGTGCAGGGCCTCTAGGGCTGTGGCCGGGGTGTGTGGCCACAGTTACAAGAGAATGGCTGCAACAGCAGTAAAGGACAGGGGCCCTCAGGGCTCTCAGGGGGTTCGCCAGAGGGGGGCCTGGGCCGGGGCTGGTGACAGCCTCTCTGGAGGGGACGATGGGAATGCAACTGGAGAGGCTTCCAGCGGGAATCAGACTTGGGGATTCTCCACAGGGGCTCTGTCAGAATCCCTAGGGGGATCTCCTGCCCCAAGAATCTGGGGTACCCTCCGTCCCCCCTCAGCACCCCTGGCAGAGGCAGCGAACTGGGAAGCCACTGAGGAGAGAGGGAGGGCAAAAAAGTGGTTGATCCACTGGGCTACTCGGGAACCCCGGTGTGAACGGCCACGGGGGCGCCCTCCTCGCGCCCGGCGGGGCCGGCAGGTGGCCCTTTGGAGGAGGGTGGGAGCCTCTTGGGGTGGGGCTGAATGGTTGGGAGGCCCTGAGGTGGCAGGGATGGTGGCTGGGGCCGCAGGGACAGCGGGAGTCCACACAGGGGCACAATACACTCTGAAGGGAAAGCGCATGGCCCGGTGAAGGCAGCTGCCTCTCGGTGCTCTGTGTACCGGGAAGCAGATCCCATGGTGGATGGCGCCGACACGTTCCTGGTGACCGGCGAACAGGCTGGGAGGCTGGGCCTCAGGGTCGTCGGCTTGCTCAGCAGGATGGTGGGGAGACCAGGCAGGGGGGCGGCACTTGTTGCGGGGCCGACGGGAGGCCCGGCGGGGGCGGGGTGCTCCTCGTGCTCTCAGCAGAGGGTGGGCTGTCGAGGAGGGTGGCGCAGCCGTCTCCATAGGCTCCACGCGCTTTCCAATACAGAACCTCAGACTGAGGGCTGGAAGGGAGCTCAGGGCCACCCAGTCCAACCTTTCACTCTGTTCAGATCCCCTCTTCCCCTGGACGGGTGACAGCCCAGCCTCTATTAACAGACTCCAGGGACAGAAGGGTCACTACCCATAAGGCCACTTATTCCATTGCGGGATGGCTTTACAGAAGCTCTTTCTTACATAGACTCAAAACTCGCTCATTTGGCCCCTGTAGGTGCGGCCCCCGTGACTTCACACCCCTTCACAGGCCCTCACTGGCTGGGGTTAACCAGGGAGTGAATTCTTGTCCAGCCTTGGCTGAGGACTTAGAGGGCAGAAAATGCATAAGGAAGCTTCAGACAAAGGCATGGGATACAGGCAGTCCCCGGGTTACAAACGTCCAACTTTTGGACAACTCGTACTTAAGAATGGACTGCCATAAAGCCTACAGTATTAAAAAATTTGAGTTAAATACAATAGTTCTTAATAAGGAACGCACACACTGCTTTGTGAAGCTCATGAAAACATTGCACAGTTTGGAAGTTTTTAAGTGTTTTGTATTTAGAGAAAGGTAAAATGTACACCATATGCTAAGACAAACATTTGACTGACGCTAACTAAGAATCGTATGTACCTGTTCTGACTTACCTACAAATTCAACTTAAAGACAGTCTTAGGGACAGATCTGGTTCATAACCGGGGAACTGCCTGTATTCCAGAAAAGAGACAGGGCTCTGGAAGGAACACTCTACCAGCATTTCAGAAGAGTATGTATGGTTATGAAGGCTCCTGCACTGGTGTGGTGGGAGGCCTGGGGTGGTCCAGGCAGGCAGTTGGCACGTGGAGGCCATCCCCAGCACAGCTCAGGACTCACTGCCTTGCTGGAAAACTCCCCAGGCGCAGGGCAAGTCTGAGAGTCACCTGCTGAGCCTGTGCCCCCTGGGACCCGGAATGGGCGGAGGCAGGAGTCCTGGGCTGAACTGCCGGGCCACTCACCGAATTTTCTGCATCTGAGTCTTCTGAGCTGCTGATCACCACGACGCGCTCCTCTGAAAACAGGCAGGGAGACACCATTAGGCCTTGCATGGGTGCACTGGGCAGGCGAGTGGACTGTGTGGGCAAGGCGTGCCCTGCAGGGAGGACGTGAATACTCACTGTGTATGTGAGGCTGCATCTGTCTCATGTGTGCAGAGGGGTTATTCACGAATGGGTGTCCAGCATTTCTTGCTGTTAACATTTAATTAGGCTGTTCGCCCTAACTTCAGAATTTGCTCCTTGAACAGGAGGCTCGACAAACACCACCTAGTTTGGAACTTTTTGCAACCCTAACAAAGCACATTGGTTTGTTCCAATTCTCAGCCCCATGAGCTGTGACATCTACAGTCAAAAGATGGCTCATCTAGTTAATCAAAACCCTTTGATAACCAATAGCACTTGTGAGAAAGGAATACCGGTCAGGGCTCAGTGTGTGACCAGGGTCAGGGCTCAGTCTAGGGCTTCGAATGAAGAACAAAGATGGCCTCTGGGTGAAGCAATCCAGGAAGCACACCTCTCTTGATCCAGAATTCTATGGGTTGACCTCAACTCTTGCCCAAGGATTCCCTGTCTGGCAGTGGCCATGAAAGAGATCTCGAAAAAACGAGATCCCCCACGGGGATGGCCTTTGCAGAAAAAATCTGGGGAAATGATGGGTGTGGACTTCACCCAAGTCTTTACCCAAGGCACCCACCAGCAAACATTTCTTGGAGAGACCCACCCTGTGCAGAGCATGGTACTGAGCACTCTAAGAGTGTGTTGGGGGAAGGAGCTACAACTACTTTGGGTTTTAGCCCTGCGTGCTCCCCACATTTGGATCACAGCAAAGCACGTGGTGAACCTCATGGACTCTCACCCCCAGGTGAACTGGGCTTTCCGTAATCTATTCTGCAGCAGCTCAAAGCAGGGGACACAGGGGAATCCGGCTGGTTTGGGGCTCCCCAGTTGGGGCTCAAAATGCAGAAGAGGGGTCCCACCCAGGCCCTGAAGAACAGCGTGCAGGCCTCAGCCTCTGCTGCTTCCCCACCTCCCTACCTGCCTCCTCCCCAGGCTCGCTGGTCACATGGTTGTTGTTGAGCAGGAGGACCTTGTTTCCAGTGTCGGGGCTCCCGAGGCTAGGGGGTTCATCCAGGTGGGGTGGCGAGACTGCCTTGGAGGTGCTGGGCCTGGGCTGCTCAGGGGAGCTCCGGGCCAGCCTTTCTTCCTTCTCCTCCTCAGACTCCAACTTGATGATTTTCCTGGGGCCCTCGGTCTGGCAGGATTTCCTCTTTTGGGGTGTGAGTGGGCTGGGGGCCTCCTGTGCAGTGGGAGAGTCACAGGGCTGAGTCAGGTACCTCCAGGGCACTGGGCTCGTGCAGAGGGTGGGCAGGCGTGGTGGGGCTGAGACCCCTCTGCCACCATGCCCGCCCCTCCTCTGCTCTCTGCCTGGACAGACCACGCCTCTCTTCAGACAGCCCTCCCACAATGCCCTGCACTCTGGTCCTGGCTGTGGACCACCAACCCCTGCTGGCCACTGGCTGTCCTGCAGGTCCCAGCTCCCTGGCTCATGCTTAGAGGGGAGCTTCCCTGCAGCCAAGAGCAAGGAAGAGCATAGAGTAGGTGCTTAACGTGCACTTCCTCACTGATGAGCTGATGGCCTGAGTTCTGCTGCACCCCTTACTGCCTTGCTTTGGTAGAACCTGGGAACTCAAAGCTTTTATAAACTCCTGCTCTCAAGTGGGAGGGCAGGGGCCTCCCACCCTGATGGTGACACCACAGCTATTCTGATCAGGCAGCAAATTGAGCAATTCTGTCCCTAGGATATAAGGCCCGGGGAATATAGTGGCTGGGACGTGGGGGCAGGGGGAGGAAGAGGCACTAACTCCACACATGGAATTTAAAACATTATCAACCACTTCCATAAACTCAACTTGCTCAAATGGACGAAGCTGATAAAAGTATATGCAGAAGATGGGAGAATGGAGTTACTATTGTGTGGAGAGGCAGGTTCAAGCTTCTTTACTGTTGCCACGATATTGTTCTCACCATGAGTGTGTAATGTAAACCATCATTTTAAGGACTCCCCAGCCAAAGCTCAGAGTGGACAGAAGGACCACCCAGATGTTTTTCCCAGACTTTTCATGGCTTCCCATGGACTGGGAACCCAGCACGGTCTCTCTGGGGTCCCCTTGCCCCACTCGTGTATCCATGTCTAGGGCCAACACGGATCCTGGATGAGGCCCTTGGGAGGGTAGATGGGTGGGTGCAAGCTGGACAGAAGCTTACCTCTCGATAGGAGGGGTCTTTGATGGAGAACGCATACATGGGCACAGGGTGTGCCCCGGGCTCTTGCTGTACCACAGCCATCGGCTGGGCCTCACTCAGCCCCATGACCTGCGCCTGAGCCCTCTGTGCCTCCTCTGGCTACAAAATCGAGAAACAAGAGAGTCAGAAACGACCAGGCAGCAGGCCCAGGGTTAGGGACCCCAGGCCCATTGTCAGCCCATGCCTGAGTGACATCCCCAGGGTCTCACGCAGCCCCAGGTGCAGGCTGCCGGATCCAAAGGCAGGAGCCCACCGAGAACAAGAGGCCTCCCCACATCCTCCATGACTTCACCGCCTTCTGACCCAGAGTTGCTGGTGGTCAGGAACTTCCATTCATGTGTGTCCTAACAGGGCTGGAAGATGGCCTCAGGGATCATACTGCCCAACTCTCTCCCCAAGCCCCATAACTAGCCCCAGCTTACACATCTCCGGGGACAGAGGGCTCACTACTGATGGAAGCAGCTCCTGCTACAGCTGCAAACTTCTAACAGTGAGAAAATCCTTCCATTGAGCTGAAGCAGCCTCCCTGTGACCTTAACTCTGCCTGGGTCAGAAGAGCTGTCATACAAGTTGGGCCTATTACTTAAAACACACTGGACCTCAATCTCCCTTTGTAAAGTGGGAATAATATTTGCCTCATAGGGTTATACGGATTAAATGCGCTAATGTAGGTTAAATAATTAGAACAGCACCTGGTACTTATAAAGTGCGTATAATATAGTAATAATTACTGGTTTTTTTTTTACATCACAGAATAACTTTTACTTATAATGAATGCTATTCTCTCCAAACTTTAAATCATCATTTCACTTTTATAATAGAGAATCAATTTAAATACCACCAAAATGGAAGGAAGACCAAACAATCTGCTATTACATATCAGTTTCTCTGATATGTCATAAATGATATCCAGTTAGTCTTGCAACATGGTCCATTTCCAATGAAAATACTCATTAAACTGCTAAGAAGAATTTCAGTCCTTCATATTGACATTTTATTCTTAAGAGGTGCTAGACAGTGGCTCTCTTGACTGCTTCAGGGGGAAGACAGTCACACTGTTCTGAAGAAAAGGCTGACATCACAAAACCACTTCATCATATGTGATCCATCCACAAATGGACAGCATGTCTTCAGATCCTTTGGTTTTTATAATAATCCCTTTGTAAATTATTTGACGATTGTTCCCAAAAGATTCTACTGTGAACAGTATGAATCACTGCCTATACAGTTTGTGCCAATGTTCTTGACTTTCTCTTACCCACTGATTTATCGGGACCTTGTAGTGACGGTAGCCTTATTTTGTCCATACCTTTGCTGTAAACATTGAGATATACCAAGGACAACCAATAAACCAGACCATACATACTGAAATCTGAGTGGTTTAGCAAAGAATATAAATCAAAGTACAATGGTCCTTGCTTTTCTTCCTACTGTCACCGTTACAGCAAGAAGTGCACCAAAAATTTTAATCAAAGCCAGGACAAAGAAGATTCCAAAATACCCAGTGAGGGAAAAAAGGAAAGCATAACCATAGGTCCGAGCTGGATTCTTTGAACAAAATGTTACTGCAGAGCATAATCCACTAGTACATGTCAACCCCAATAAAACATACACAAAACCTATCTAATACAGATACAGAACCATTTCTGAATTAGAAGCATCACAGAGTTTCCTAGCTTTCTCTTGGATGTTTCCAGTAACACCATCTGCACGTAGTGCCAAGGAAATAAGGATCACCCGTCAGGTTGAAATTTGGTGCAACTGCGCTGTCAGCCAGGGTAAACCGTATCAGGCCAAGGCTCATCCGTGCTGTAGCAGACACATTTGCAACCTTATATTGCCTTCCTTGAATAAAAATTCCTCCTAGCGTAACAGACTCATAGCAACTCTATAGGACAGAGTAGAACCGCCCCAGAGTTTCCAAGGAGCGCCTGGTGGATTCAAACTGCCAAACTTCTGGTTAGCAGTTGTAGCTCTTAACCACTACGCCGACAGGGTTTCCAAATAAGATTTCCAAGGAGCGCCTGGTGGATTCAAACTGCCGACCTTTTGGTTAGCAGCCATAGTAGCTCTTAACCACTAAGCCACCAGGGCAACAGTATGGTATGGTATAGCATAACAGAAATCAACTTGAAGATGTCTTGGGTAAGATAATTCAGGTAGCCCAAGGAAGTGTTTGATAACCCCATAGTACCCACAATTAGAAAAGCTATTATCATGTAGGTTTTTCCTGATGTTCTCCTTTTGTCCTGAATAAGCTGAAGTTTTATTAGGCCAAATAATTTAAGGTACCAGCCATAGGACTTAAAACCCTCCACTGAAAACATTAATTCCTGTAAATATCCATAAATTTAGGTAAAATACAGGAAGGCCAGCAACACCTATGAAAAACTGAGTAAAGTTTGTTAAATCTGCTGAGATTTATGCCAAGGACCACGATGGGATCTATTGACTCAATGTGTGGTGATATTGTTTGGGTTTTGGAAGGGACAGTGACAGAAAATATATTTCCTGGAGTTGCTTTGAGATCCACTGTTCTTATTTTGCTGCATTCAGTGCTTCCAAGGTTATCTTTGTTGATTTCCTCTGTTTTGTTCAGTTTTTCTTTTGCTTGCTGATTTACGTCTTTAGTCACGTTATCAGAAGGAACCAGGCCCTGGATAAGGACCTCATGCTTGGTGAAGTAGAGGGTCAGTGAAAAAGAGGAAGACCCTCAACAAGATGGACTGACACAGTGGCTGCACCAATGGGCTCAAACATGACAACAACTGTGAGGATGGCACAGGACCAGGCATCGTCTCATTCTGTCGCACAGGGGGTCGCTATCAGTTGGAACCGACTTGACGGCACCTGGAAGAGTGACCCCAGCCCAGATGGTGCCTCGGCCAGAGAGTGGAGTTTCCCCCTCCCCAGGTCTGTCACCATCACCTCCTCCTCCTCTCCTATTCCTGCACTTTCCACCGGGGTGGCCACCTCCTCGTTAGATGCTTCAAAAAAACCAAACCCGTTGCCATCAAGTCGATTTCGACTCATAGAGACCCCATTGGACACGGTAGAACTGCCCTGTAGGGTTTCTGAGGAGCAGCTGGTGGATTCGAACTGCTGATCTTTTGGTTAGCAGCCAAGTTCTTAACCACTGTGCTCACATCTAATAATTACTGTTTTTATTACTGCTCTGTGCCAGGCCAGACAGGGGCAATTCCTCAAAAAGATAAACTCAGAATTACTGTATGTCTCAGCAATTCCACTCCTAGGCATATGCCCAGAAGAAATGAAAACACATGTTCAAAAAAAAATCCTTGTCCAGAAATGTTCATTCATAGCAGCACTATTCACAATAGCGAAAAGGTAGAAACAACCCAAATGTCCATCAACAAATAAACAAACAAAATGTAGTATATACGTAACAATACAATGTTAGTCAGCCATAAAAGGGAATGAAGTACTCATACACACTATGACATGGATGAATCTTGAAAACATTATGCTGAACGAAAGCCAGATACAAAGGGCCACAGATTGTATGATTCTACTTACATAGAACGTCCAGAATAGGCATAGGAACAGAAAGATTAGTGGTTTACAGGGGCTGGCAAGAGGGAGGAGGGAGGGAATGGGGAGTGACTGCTTAATAGGTACAAAGTGTTCTTTGGGGTGATAAAATGTGCTGGAACTAGACAGTGGTAGTAGTTGCAAACACTGTGAATGTACTAAATGCCAAAACTGAATACTTTAAAATGGTGAATTTTATGTTATTGTGAATTTTAACACAATAAAAAAAAATTACAGTTACAAAAAAAAGGGGGAAGTAGATACCGTACTATGATTATTGCCAGTTTACAGAGAAGGAAACTGAGGCACAGAGGAAGTAACTTCCCAAGGTCACACAGCTCGGAAGGGCCTGGAGCTAGGTTCGAGCCCAGTGTTTCCTCCCCGCCTGTGTGTTGTCCGTCTCTTTAGTCACTGTCTTTATTCCTCCCCACCATCTTTCTCAATTGCATAGAGCATAAGTGTACAGTGGGCTGCTTGGGGAACACAACAAGTGGCATGTGAGATGCCCCTCCAAAGGGGAGACCCAGATTCAGGAACTTGGCTCCAGGGGCCTTGGCCCTACAGGTCCTGGCACCCAAACCACCTGTGTGCCCAATGGATGACCATCCATCAGATGACTGCAGTGGAGGGACGGGACTCCCACATGGCAGAATGTGCTCTTCATCCAACAGGCGCCCGAATGTAAGATGGCCAGGGCGAGGCTTTCCTCACGGGACCTCTCTGTCTGTTCCTGTGATGGATGATAAGGTCAGGCCCACTGCCCCAGTGGGGAACACTGGGGCCTCCTTAAATTACCTGGCCAAGTCCGGACTGGGGTGTGGGGTAAGGAGGATCCCAGGTAGAGAAGGCCCCAGCACAGCATCTCCTATGGTGGGTACCCAAAGTTGGCGGCTGGGCTCTTAGTATCACATGCTTTGATGTGGGCTTCTACACCATTTACTGTAATGGAGCCTTTCCCTCCCTTTCCTCCTACCCCCTCCTTCTTCCTGAGTTCCTTTACAAAAAAGAAGGATATGTCTGCCTTGAGCATGATGCTCTTTTAAGGATTATCCTTATGGGATCAAATTGACAACAGCAACTCGAAAGACAGGAACCTTAGGGGGCAGTGAGTTTGTTAGTGGGGGAGGAACAACTCAGAAAAGAAGGGTGAGAATGGTTGCACAACCAGAAGAACATGATCAATGTATTGTACATGTAAAAACTGTTGAATTGGTGTATGTTTTGCTGTGAATATTCTCAACAACAAAATAAATAAGAAAGAAAGGACAGCTATCTCTCTGGGTCAGTGCGCGCCATCCTTCCTGGGAGAGAGGGGACAGCAGGTGTTCTCCCAGGGTCTTTCTCTCCCAGGCCCCCAGGAAAGTCTACACTCTACAGTCTCCACCAAGCTCGCTACACTGGTGTTTTTCAAATTACAGTTTGTGACCCATAAATGGACCATGAAGGCAATTTAGTGGGTCATGACCAGCATCTGCTTAATTAAATAGAACAGTACAGGACAGAAAATGCTGGAGTGCATCCCGTGGTAGTAATTTGTTTTATGAAACTTCTCTTTTAGCTACTGGTATGTGTGTATACACTGGCGGTTAAGATGTAAAATGTAATTTTTACAATGCGTAGTGGTTAAAAAAAACAAGTTTAAAAGGCCCCGCTCTATCCCCCCACGTCTGACTCTGCAAACTGTTGGTACGTAGAAGGCCCTCTTTCTACTTGGGCCATTGGGCTCCATGTCCTCTGTCCCCCGCCCCCCCCCCCCAAGTATTATGAAGCACTAGAAACACATGAGAACTCAGTAAAGAAAAAAAATCATGATGACTGATTTATAGCTGTTTTACAGCTTTTAAAAAATAAATTTATTTTTTCCATGAAAGTACTGGAACGTCATTACAAAAAAAGCCCATGACAAATAGAGGGAAAATACATGAGTCACAGCCCCACCCAACCACCCCTAGCTGGCATTTTGGTGGTTTTCTCATCATCTCTTCCTAGGCACGTAGGTGCAATGAAAATAAATGAGCCCTTTCAAGAGGGAAGGGTGTAGAGCTGCCTTTCTCCTGCTACAGCTGGTAGGACAGGCTTTCCCCTGGTAGAGCGGATGGGCCCCACCTGTGTCTGTATCACTCGAGCTGCCACAGCTTGTCCTTTGCATTTACACTGAACTTCCACTTCCTCCCCCTACCCTCCAGAGCCTATTACCAAAGTGAAAGCAAGAGGCTTTGCAAAGAGAACATTCTTCAGATGCTCCAGTTCAGAGCTTAGGAGCTGATAGTGAAAGGTCACATCTGCTCTGGTTTTACAAGAGAATTTACTGGTTGCCGTGGAGTCGACTCTGATTCATGGCGACTGCACGTGTATCAGAGTGCTTCTGGGTGAACTTGACCCTCCCACCTTTCAGTTAGCAGGTAAGTGCCTTAGCCATCAGCACCACCCACGGACTCCTTACAAGAGGAAGACCTGCCAAATGTCTAGATCTATTTACAAGACAGTCCCATGGGCTCTCTGGCTGTTTATTTACCAGTGACTGGTACCCGGAGGAGCACAGTGGTGGCACAGTGGTTAAGAGCTCGGCTGCTAATCAAAAGGTCGGCAGTTCAAACCTCATCAGCCACTCCTTGGAAACCCTATGGGGCAGTTCTACTCTGACCTATAGGTTATCGACTTGACAGCAATGAGTTTTTGGTTCGGCACCCGGAAGGCAGCTGGGATCTGTGGACGTGGGGCACTTTCCCACTACTATTTCACATTACTTATTTGGTGAAGATTATTCATTGTAGCATTGTTTGTAATAGCAAAACAACCTAAATGTGCACCAGTAGTAAGCTGACTAAATATAGCCTGGTACATCCATTCAACAGACCACTATGCAGCTGCAAAAGGGAGTCCAGAAGCTGCCTACCTACTGACATGGTAAGAATTCCAGAACACAGCTGGGTAAAAAAGCCTGGGGCACAATACTATGTATATATGGTATGTGGAAGTAAGTGTCTGTCATCATATTTGCTTGTAATTACATAAAGAAATTCTGGAAGGATGCATAAGAATTAATAAAGATAGAGGAATACAGGGGCAGGAGCTGGACAGATGGAGGAAGAGGCGGGAGTGAGACTTTATACTATTTTTGGTCATGTGATTGTACTGCCTCCAAGAAAATTAAAATAAAATGTCCTTTTTTTTAACTTTTTAAGCTGTGTAGATGGGGATGAAGGCAGACCTGTGTGACCTTGGGTAAGTCACACCTCCCTCTGTCGGCCTTAGTTTCATCCTCTGTAAGAGTGGGTTAGACTTCACGCTCTTCCTTAGCTCTAAAGTCTCAGTCGCTAAGTCTTGCCTCCTCCATGAAGCCTCCTGATTGCCTCAGAGTACAGCAATCTCTCTCACCTATGGGTCATGCTGTGGCAAGGCTAGGAAGGGTCACCACCAGCCCACCCCCACCTGAAGACCCACTTTCCATGGAGAACCAGTCAGTCCTGGGCCTAGAACCTTGAGAGGCAGGCACACGTAAGCTTAGATGACCAGAATGGGGAAACGACCAGATGGCAAGTCTAGGAAGGAGGTGAGGAAGCTCATCCTGGTAGAGAGCTGTGCGGTGAGCGCCAGAGGGCAAGTCAAAAGGATGCCATTTCATTTCACCCAGGGCAGCACTTTCTAAGTCAGAGCATTCCAGAGATGGAGGCGGCTGCCTCAAGAAAGAGTGAGCTTCCTGTTCCTGGAGGTGTGTGCATGAAGGTGGACAGCCACAGGTCAGCGGCGCTGCAGAGGGAATGCCAACATTAGATGGCACAGGGGCACCTTCCAACCCTGACCAACTATGGTTCTTAGATATATGCTGGTCCTGGAATGCCTGCAGCGGGAGCCAGGCTGCTGGCATGGAGTCTGACTCCCGGCCCCGCTCTCGGGTCCTCTCTAAGAATCACGTCTGGGAGGGAAGGGGGAGGTCCACGTATGCTGACTCCAGGAAAAGGCTCACATATCTAGGGTAGGGCACAGTGAGAGGATACGTCATCTGCCATGTCCATCAGGGCCACCTGCCAGTGACCACCTCCTTCATGTCCTCCTCTCTACCCCTGGGCCTAGGCCACCCCTCCTGAACCTGGCTGACATCCCATTAAGAGCTACTCTGGCATTCAGAAGCCCAGAGCCAGCCAGCCCTTCCTGGATGTCTTCCTTTACTCCCGCCAACTGGAAAGCTCCAGTCCAGCCACTTGCTGTCCCTCTCAGGCACTCTCCCTCCTCTGTTCCCTGCACACATGGGAACAGCAAGCAGTGGGTTTCCTTTCTGACACAGGAGCTCCCAACCCGCTTGACCTGCTGGGCCCTACCACCTCCCCCTCATACCTCAACCCCATCTCACCAGATCAACGTCAAAAGAGTTCCTGGGAGTGCTGGCAGCCTCTGGGCTGGCTCTCCTGGGTAGAGCTGCATCTGGGGAACACAGAGACGGTCTCAGACAGGTCAGAGCAGCCCTGGTGAGGGGCAGCCTGGCCTGGGACAGTGACAGAGAGGATGTCCCTGTTGCTTTGTCTAGAGACCACCCCCAGGGCATCTTGTAGCTCAGGGGCAGCTTCACTGAGGGGCTGGCAGATAGTAGGGAAGCTCTCTCGGCTACAATGTGCATGAGCCTAGCGTGAAGGTAGAGTGGGCGGCATTAGAGAGCCTGCCTTTGACTCCAAACTCAAGTGCACCTCTCTCCATCTCTGGGCCACCAGCAAGGCAACATGTAGAAAATCCTAAAGCAGTTGCTGCTCACTGACTTCTCCATATTCAATGAGAGCTCCGTGACACTCTTCTGACCTGCAGCCTGGTTTTTGTTAAGTCTAACCTCAATCTCTTATGCTGCAGAATACAATGACTCCTCTCTGCCACTGATGGGTTACAGCTCCGAAGGCCAGTTGTTTAAACTCTGTGGGGTCATTTTCGGTATATGGTAGCAACATTCGCTGCCTGGGTAGAGAAGGCCCAAGTGTCATGCCCACTCTTTGGAGCCCACGTCCCCTGGCTCCAGGAAAAGGAGTGAGCAAGCCCTCCATCACTGGTGCCTGCCCAGGGGTCTTCTGATTCTGTAGCCTCCCTCCCCTCTCTCAGTAAGGAAATCCTCACACCAGCTGCTCAGAGGTCAGATTCCAGCTTAGAGATTTAGTCAAAGAGTTGTTAAAGCCTTTTCCCCCAGGAGGCCCTCTTGCTTTTCCTGAGAATCCCTCTGATGTCCCAGCTCATACAGAGCTTCTAAGACTCCTGGATTGGGATTGCAGAGCCAAGCATTCTCCAGTTATGTGATGTGTCCACAGCTTGTCTCCCAGTTAGACTGGACAACTCTTGAGGTCAGGAACTGGTCTGCTATCTCTTCATCCCCTAAGTGCCCAATACCAGCAGGGCCTTCAAAGCCTGGCAGCTGGTCCACGTGGCAGGCCATCCTGGGGAAAAGGGATCTCCTCCATTGAGTACTGCGTGGCTTGGGGCAAGCACCTAACCACTCCAGGGAGTTTTCTTAGCCCCCTTCTGCCCTCATGCCCCAGTTGACTTCTCTGTTCCTGGATACAGGGAGCTGAGAGAACCTTCTGGAGTGATTAGTCCCTCTGGGACCGAAATGATATTAGAATCTAGTTCTAAGCTTTGCAGTTTCTCAACTCCCGTGTCCCCCAATGGTCACAGCTAATCCATCGGGTGCTTTGTGTAAATTACCCATCTCTGGGTGCCTCCTCTCTCCTTCATCCTGTGCCCTGGAACCTACAACCTGACTAAACCCAAGAGACTTAATAAAAACCGAATTTCCTTCTCTGTCAAATGGAGATGATTTTTTCTGTCCTGTCTTCCCCAAGGGGGCAACTGTGAGGAGCAAGCCCTTTTAAATGGCAAACAGGCCACCCACAGGAGTGGCTCAGGGTGCTTACCTGTGCCCTGGGTGATGCAAGATACCAGATCCCGCAGGCGAACCTTGAACTCGTCAAAGCTGTTGGTGGGTACGGGGGCTTGCAGGCTCTGGGGCTCCTCCTGGCGCAGGCGGTGGAGCGCCTCACGCAGAAAGCTGTGCATGTCCAGCACCTCCTGGTCCGAGGCATAGCGCTTCATCCTCTGCACGAGCGCGCCACCCGTGCGGATGCGCTGTAGCACGGCGTCCAGGCGGCTCAGGCGGCGGGTCATCTCTTCGGATTCACTCTGGTACCGCGCCTTCAGGCTCTGGATCAGTTTGTGCTCCTGCATCTGCACGTGCGCTACGACCTGGCGCACGCGCGCTCGAATCAGTTCCTCGGTGTCAGCGCGCGCGCGGTCTAACTGGCCGATGGCCGAGCGCATCTGCGCGTGCGCCGCACCGAAGACTCCGTCCTGCTCCTGCAGCGCCTGCGTCATGGTGTCCAGCTCCTCCTGCCGCTGCTGGATCTCTGCACGGATGTCGCATTTGAGCTCGCTATGGCCTGTGTCCAGGAGTGCACACGAGCAGCACAGGGGTTTGGAGCAGCCTCGGCAGTAGATGCTGCGGACATACAAGACTGGCTTGGTTTCGGACTCTGCGCTTTCTCTCCTCCCTTTAAATTTCTATTGTTAAATTCCTCTTCAAAAATTACTAAACTTTCAATCAAGGTATGTTTCTAGGTTTGTGCTTTTCCCTATTCAATGTTTGTGGTTATGGTGATAGTATCCAAACTACTGATAAATTAAAAGATTAAAGAAGTTACTGAAGTAGCAATAGCTAGCCTCCGTGCGTGAAACAACCTAGATATACAAAGAGAAAGTTAATTTCTTTCCACCACCTTAGGAATTTCTCTTTCCCACCTCCAGGTAATCATGTGAGCACCCTGGGGTGCATCCTTCCACATCTTTCTCCACTCAAACCACCTTACACAAATAGACAATGCTGCTGCTTCCAGGATTTTAAGGACTTGACATCTATCATCCCACTTAAGCTGCACAAGAACCTGTTAGTCCAGTCTGGTGGGACAACTCAGTCAATTGGCATAACATAGATCATAAAGATAATGTTCTATATCCTAGTATGGAAGAAACGCCTGGGCTCTTAAAAGCTTGCCAGCAGCCATCTAAAGTACAACTATTAGGCTCTTTCCATCTGGACCAAAAGAGGATGAAGGAACCAAAGACTCAAAGAAAAAACTAGTCCACACGACTGAGAGCTCACACAAACTATGGCCTCTTCTAGCCGGAGACCAGAAGAACTAAATGGTGCCCGGCCACCACTACCAACCTTTCTGACCAGGAACACAACAGAAGGTCCTGGATCAAATGGGAAAAAATGTAGAACAAAATTCAAATTTCTAAAATTACCAGACTTAAGTAGACTGATAGAAACTAGACAAACCCCTGAGACTATTGCCCTAAGATATCCTTTTAACTTGGAACTGAAGCCACTTCCGGGAGTTCTGCTTTAAGGTAAATAATCGACTGGCTTATAAAATAAACAGTTACCACCCATGAGGAATGTGTTCCCTTAAACAATCAACTACATGAGACCACACGGTCAACATGTATCCAAGAGCAAAGATGAGAAGGCAAAGAGGGGCAGGGAAGCTAGATCAATGGAAACAGAACAACCAGAATAGAAATAATGAGAACGCTGACACATTGTGAAAATTGTAACCAATGTCATGGAACAATCTGTACCAAAATTGTTAAATGAGAACCTAATTTGCTCTGTAAACTTATACCTAAAACACAATAAAATATTTTAAAAAAAAAGAACCTGTTAGGTAAGAATTACTGTTATCCTCATTTCTCAGATGAAGAAACTCAGTCATACAGTGGTTAAATAATTGGCAAAATTATCTCAAACAATTTTGGGGGAATTGATGTTTGTTCTTAAAAATGAGATCATGCTATAGCATAGCTTTGTAACTTCCTCCTCTAACTTCCAACACAGACATTCCTCCAAGTCTATAGGTATATACCATACCATATCAATTGCCAGAGAGTCAGTTTTGACTCATGGCGGCCCAATGTGTGTCAGAGTAGAACTGTCTCCAAAGGGTTTTCGATGGCTGATTTTTCAGAAGTAGATCACCAGGTCTTCCTTCCTAGTGTTAGTCTGGAAGCTCCGCTGAAACCTATTCAGCGTCTTAGCAACACACAAACCTCCACTGATAAGTGGGTGGTGGCTGCGCATGAGGTGCATTGGCCGGGAATCCAACCTGGGTCTCCCACATGGAAGGAGAGAATTCTACCACTGAGCCACCACTGCCCCTTCTTAAGAAAGACTACAATTACTATATTGGACTTCAATATTAATGCTCACCAGTGACACAATTAGAATTGCTAAGCAATAAGGAAGGAGTCTGTTGGTGGTGCAAACAGTTAAATGCTCGATTACTAGCTGAAAGGTTGACAGTTCAAACCTACCCAGAGGTACCACGGAAGACAGACCTGGCAATCAGCTCCCGAAAAGTCACGGCCTTGAAAACCCTACGGAGCAGTTCTACTTTGCACACACGTGGTTGCCGCGAGTCGGAATTGACTTGACGGCAACTAACAACAATAACAAAAAAAAGGGGTCCAGAAATAAAGGGAAGGAGAACAAGACCTAGTCGTCATCTTTCCACTCTGGACCCACAGGAGAAGGGTTGAGTCTGATGCTGGACGCCCTTGCTTAGAAAGAGTGCTCCAAACCTGGCAGGGATGCACCTGTGGTGGCCTGGTGGGGGGCGAGCAAGACTTTCTAGGACACCACTAGCTTCTGCCAGGGTCCTATTTCTAAGTACCCTCTACCTCAGATAGGGTCTCCCTAGAGAAGCCGGCTACTGAGCTCCCCCTGGATGGAAATGGACAACTGGCAGCAGATCTCTGTGAGCTGATCAGCCTGAATCAGTCCCCCTGAGCCCAAACCCCCCCCCAGCAATCTGATAAGACGCAGGTGCAGGCTCCGAATTGGGATGACCATCAAGGGGCTGCCATCCAGGGCCAGGCTTGACCTCAGGCCTTAGCCTAATGATTCCTTCACCTTCATTCAAGGGACACTCACTGAGCACCTACTGTGTGCTTGAAACTTTGGGGGAGGCAGGAATGAGGTGGGCACCTGCCCTCAAGGAGCTCTGTGATAAGAGCCCAGATTTAACACAGACATAAAGAAGAATATCTCTGGAAATGCACATGCAAAATGACAGGGACTTGCTCTGAGAATACTCAGAGAAATCAACCGGAGCACAACAGAATTAAAGAGAAATTGCTCAGCCAAATTACTGAATTACGCCAGATTTAAATGAGAAGAAAATAGCTTAATTCTATCCCGACAAAGCAAATGAAGATAAATATGGGGAAGATTCCATGTTCACATTCACAACAGCAATTTCAATAATGCTAAAAATACCTAGACATAATCCTAACAAGAAATATGCAGGACTTACATGAAGAAAATGACAGAAATCCACTTAGAGAAAGTCTAAAGAACAGAAAAGTGTACCAAGTTCCCAACTGGAGAGGCTAACTACTGCAAGAATGTTCATTCCCCTCAAGTTAACATAAACGTTTAAAGCAATTTTAAAAATATTGTAAATGGGATTTTGAAACTTGACCAAACGATTCTAAAACAGATCAAATAGCTAAGACATTTTTGAAAAATCAGTGTAATGAAGGGGAATTTGCTTTACCTGATATAACCCATGACAGAACTACCATTATTAAGAGTGTGGTACTAGCTTAAGAGTCAAGAGAAAGATCAGCAGAACAGACCATATAGTCTTACATAGGCCCTGGCATCTGTATGAACTTAATATTTATAAAGAAAGCACCCCTAAACTAACAGAGATTAAAGGGGTTTTCAATGATTAGTATCAGGGAAACTGGCTGAGGGGAAAAAACCAGGTTAGAGTCTTGCTTCATACTCCACACTAAGATACATTTCCACTAAATCACGAAGTTAAATGTAAAAAAATAACATCATGAAGGAGAAACTATAGTTGAATATTTGCTCTAATGATGTAATCACTGAAGTAATGAAAGAAATCATGCAATTTCTTCCTGAAAATTCAAAACTATAGTTTTTTGGAAAGACATTAACCAACGAGTTGCCATTGAGTTGATTCCAACTCATGTGACACTATGTGTGTCAAAGTCGAATTGTGCTCCATATGGTTTTCAATGGCTGATTTTTTCCAGAAGTAGATCACCAGGTCTTTCTTCTGAGGCACCTCTGGGCAGACTCAAACCGCCAACTCTTATGTTAGCAGTCAAGGGCTTAATCACCTGCACCCCCCAGGGACTCTTTTGGAAAGACATTCCCAGCTGATTATTATATAAGAAAAGCACATTACAGAGCACTAAGGATTGTTCAGTTTGTTTTGGATGATTATAAAGAGAGCAAGAAGGAAAAAGTCTGTATTGATAATTGCTACCTCTTTTTCTCCCTTCCCCATTTTTCACATTTTTAGATTTTCCAAAAGATTCTATCATCAGTTCTAAGCAAGAGAGTTTGGACTTTAAAATAGGAGGCAAGAGAGAACCCTCAAAGAACATTCCATTTAGGAATTACGACAAAGCTCTTTCTCTTCTTCCCTGTGATGTATTACTTCACTTATCTCTTATGACTATGCAGGTAATATTTTAATAGAAGCCCCAACATGCTTCTTGGGTTCTTAGTCTCCCATCCTAAAGATGCCACTGTCTAAACTGCCATACCAGAGACCAAACGATAGAGCAAAGGGTGTGGGCTCTGGAGGCAGGCAGACCTGGCCACTTCCTGGTTATGAAGCCTTGAGGAAATTACTTTCTATAAGTCTTATAATTTCCCCATCGGTAAAATGGGAATAAACAGCAGTGGTTTAGAGGTAGAATTCTCACTTTCCATGCTGGAGACTGAAGTTTAACTCTTGGCCAATGCACCTCAGACACAGCTACCACCCATCTGTCAGTGGAGGCTTGCATGCTGCTATGATGCTGAACAGGTTTCAGTGGAGCTTCCAGACTAAGACAGCTAGGAAGAAAGCCTTAGTGATCTACTGAAAAATCAGCCAATGGAAACTAGAGATCACAGTGGTCTAATCCTGTTGTCCATGCGGTTGTCATGAGCCAGGGGTCGGTGTGACGGCCGCTAACAACAACAACAACAACAAAATGGGTATCATAATGCCTCCCTCATAGACTGTTGCCAGGACAAAGACAGACGGTTGTAATGTGAAGTGCCCAGCACAGTGTCAGGCACACACTGGACATTCTAGGGTTATGAAAGAAGAGGGGACATTAACACATATGCACATGTGGCAAGGCATAGTCCTGCTATTGGTGGGCGAACCTCTGAACCTTGGACAGTAAAGAAACATCACCACTGAGTGTGGTCTCTGGACTGTTCCCTTCCCAGTATGCACAGGCCACCCCAGTCCAGCCACACCTCCTACTGGGCCAGAGCGGCATTCCACTTCTGCTGTACCGGGAAGCAGGTGGCTCAGAAGGGCACAAAGCAAAAATGCTATGAAAATAGGGCCAGTGGAGGAGAGCTGACCGACCACAGAGTAGGGCCCCAGGGCAGGATCTGAC